TATGCTCTCCGCTTCCAAGCTGCCAGGAAAAGCATGTAAGGATAAATGCCTGATGTCAAGACCAGTTGGGCGACCACGGCCCTGAAACTGGATGAAGCAGGTGGAAGGATTGAAGAAGAAGATCTGGGGAGCTTAGAGGTGGCTCAATATTTTCCATCTTTTTTTAGCTCATCACACCAGCAAAGGCCTAAAGCCTCCGGCAGTCCCAGTGAGGAGAGCAAACCCATGGAAAGCCATCTATATTTTTTTTCTAAGCTTCATTTATTATCAGTTTTAATATTTATATTTTCATTTGTGCATTCCATTTTATGAGATTGCAATCCACCCAGTGTAGTGCTGTGATACTAATGGGAGTGGGATACAAACTGAATGCATGCATGAATGAACGAATCCATCTATCTCCAAGGGAATGAAATTTTTGAAACAGAAATGACAAGCAAGAGAGGTGTCTTTCAGATCCCTCAATACAGATCTCTACGACAGGAGGAGAAGGAGGAATAGGAAGAGGGGCCAGATGCTACGAAAGCGGGAGGCGAGCCGTACACGACGCCCTCACCTCATCGCTCTCCTCCACGTCTACGTTGCCATTGGCATCGTCGTCCATCTGCTTGTGGATGCTGCGGACAGCTTCGAAGCTGAGCTGCTCATCTTCATTGTGGCACAAGGGCAGGTCGATGCGACAGAACTCTGTGGGGGGAAGGGGGAAGGTTACAAACACCCAAAACGTGTTCAAGAGATGCTCAACACCTAGCCCCAACCTCTTCACAGCACGGAGGCAAGTGGGGAGATATTCCTGCCTCCTGGAGACCAGGAGTTGTCCATCACCCAACGCCTCCTGAGCAGACTGCGTGGAGGACACGAGAGGCCAAGAGACCCAAGCTGGACTGGACTACGTTGCATGTACAGACTCTGGATCATCCATCTTTGACCTACAACCAGCTGTGGGCACCCAATGCTGTGATGGGCAGGAAGGGAGCACAGAAGAACTCCGCAGAGGGTTAGCAGCAAATAGTAACTACGATGCACCCAACTCCAAGCCTCTTTGGAAATACCATTTCGCTTTGGGGCTACCTAAGACCTTGCTGCTCTGTAAAAGCATTCTCAGTGTGATAAGGCAGCAATGAATCCTTTTTGACCCAAGGCGGTCAAAATCCTGCTCCAAAAGCAAGCCTTAAAGCTTGTAGATGAAAGCTAGACGCACGCAAGCCCTTCCTGTCACTAAGACCAAGGGTATGTCAGATGTGTACATGAATGAAACTGCTGGGTTCTCGGCCTGCTGGCAGGAGAGGCAGCCTTCACAAAAACATATGGAGGGCCTCTTAAAACAGACCAGCCAGCTCTGCAGAGTGGGCACTGTTGTTGTCAGAAAGTGCTGTTTGGCCTTGAGAAAAGAAGACCAAGGGGAGACAGGATAGCCCTCTTCAAATCCTTGAAAGGCTGTCCTACAGAGGAGGGGCAGGATCTGTTCTCAATCATTCCAGAGTGCAGCGAGCCTAATGTAATGGGCTCAAGCTGCAGGAAGGCTGAAGATCAGGAAATGTTCCTGTTAGAGCAGTACAACAATGGAACCCATGGCCTCAGGGGGACGTGATCAGCGCTCCAGTCCTGGAGGCATTCAAGGGAAAGCTGGACAATGATTTATCAGATCTGTTTTGACTTGGATTCCTGCGCTGAGCAGCGAGGGCCTTAGAGGCCCCTCCCAACTCCTTGATTCTCTGACTATGTGCGGTTGCATCCTGAGTCATTCCTGACTTATGGCAATGCTGTGCGCATTAGTAACCTCCAAAGTCTCCTGTCATTAACAGTCGTGCTCCGATCCTGCAAACTCATGGCCATGGCTTCCTGGATTGAGCTGGTCCCTCTTTTCCTGTGGCCTTCCATGAACAGTTCTGCTCAGCGCAGTGAATGTTCAGCCGTACCTCTCCTGCTGCAGTGTGGAAGAGTCTAGGTACAAACGATGGCACTGTTCTTCCTTATTCTCAAAGCAAAGAGTGCTGCATGTTTTCCATTGATGGGTCAGCACATAAAAAGAGATTTCTGCACTTCAAGATACAAACAGGAATGCTAAACAACTCAACCAAGGCCTGGCCCAAGCAAGCCAGATGCACTTAGCCCCTGGAAAAGCTTCCTTTGTGAGGAAGGCCGACGATCACAGAAGCTCCCCAATGCCACAGGCAGCCCCAAACAGCCCTCCTGCCCAGACTCTCATCCCACTGGGGAGGGGAGCGGGCCGGTGGTCTCACAGCAGGGGAACAATTTTCCAGTTTCAAACTGGAGCTTGCTCTGCCCTCTCAGACTGCTTTGTGAAGCAGGCGCCCAAGGACTGGCACCCTGACAAGGCCGGAGCCACAGTGGCAGAGGTCAGTGGATCTGGAGCCACCGCAGCAAGCGAGCGAGCGAGCGAGCGAGCGAGCAAGCAAGCAAGCAAGCAAGCAAAGAAGGGTGGTTCAAGAGAGACAGGGAGCGAGCTTGCAAAGGCAGAAAAACCCGAGTGCAGATGAATCAGAGGACTGCAGAGCGCCCTGCAGAGCGCCGTCACTCACTTGTGGGCTGTTGCCAGGACAGGTGCTTGAAAAGATGAGCTGAGCTGGCTGAGTCACACTCCAGTGGAGCCAGCCCCAAAGGGCTGCTCCCCCCCCTCTCGCTGGAAGTGTGGAGAGAGGCGGGAGGGGCAGCGGTAGCGGGGGCAGCGCCAAAAGCGGGAGGGAAAGCACCCTGGAAGTGGAGGCGGGAGGCAAAAGCACAACAGCGTTCGCAGATCGAAAAGCAGCAGCTGGGTGCCCTACTTCATCCTCTGGCGCTCAGAGCTCTATTCCTCTCCCCACCACCAATTAAGCAGGTTGCAATCAGAACCCTTCCAGCACAGCCCCAGACTGCTCAGCAGCTTAGCAGGAAGGACAAGAGGGACCCGAGAGGTTCAGATGGATGACTTTCAGACACTTGAGCCAAGAGTCACAAGTTTCAATCAAGAGCTTGCTTACTGAACGGGAAACAAAATTAGACAGCCCCACTTTATGGAGCCCAAGGCAGACCCACATTTCGCCTAGAGATCAGGAGGCAGGGACTCACTCGGTCCCAGACCAAAGCCACTTGGACGATGGTCTTTGGCTGAGAACAGGACAGTCTCCTAACAAAGGCAGCCTGTTCATCACTTAGGGCCTCGGAGGGGAGAGTCACTTTCGCACTTTGCATAAATAGCAACAGTACAATAAAACATGTTTCCCCCCGCCCCCACCCCATGGGGTGTAAGACACAGACATGACGGTCAGAGATATCATCCGTAACGCCGGCAGCCTCTTTTTCTCATTCTGATCATTTCTGCAGATCTTCCCAGAAGAAGAACAGAGAAAATGAGCCAAGCAGAAAAAAGGGGCAAGTCCACATGTCACGGCGGCTTCTCTGAAGAGACACGACACATGCAAAAAGGTGACCAACTCCAGAACAAGATGATGTAAAAGGAAAGAAAGAGGTGGGAAAGCTAGCTGGCAGCAAGAAAAGGAGGTCACAGCTCACAAGCCCTCTCGCATGGCCACACCACAGAAGACCCCTCGGGCATCCTGAAGAGGACAACTCTCGTCTGGTGTCTCCTTTTAGGGAGAGCAGTCTGCTTCCTCAGAGGCATCGCATCACATTCAAAGGCTCAAGGATACCTGCCGTGACAGCCACAGGGTCCTTCCCTTTGAGGAGCTGCTGTTTCGCAAAAAAGCCTCTCCCCTCTTTAACTCAGATGCCACACTGGATCGCTATCTATCCCGGGGTCCCTTTTGCCCTGGGCTCAAGACTTGCAAAGCGCGCAGCCATCAGCAGGTGTTCCCAGCCACAGCCGTGCAGATGACATGGCCAGAATACTCTGGAGGCTGCTCGCTCGCACGGGGCTACCCAGGCCGTGCCGAACCCAGGCGGGGGGGGGGCGCAGATCCCATTCTGATCCTGCCCTAACATGCCAGGCAAAGACTCGCCCGGATGTGATATTCCAACAGGCTACTGTATTTCTGACAGAAGCTGATGTTTTGTGCCAAAAAATATTTTGTTTGGTGAGTCTTTCGGATCTGATGCCCTAATAGGACGTCACCCATTCTGTCCTCAGTTTCACCCTGGATGGCACACAGTACAGCCAACGTACAGATTGAGGCCTTGTATATTTCAGGGCTTTGCTCTTCTTTCTTTCTTTCTTTCTTTCTTTCTTTCTTTCTTTCTATCTATCTATCTATCTATCTATCTATCTATCTATCTATCTATCTATCTATCTATCTATCTATCTATCTATCTATCTATCTATCTATCTATTAGATTTTTACCCCGCCCCCCCCCCAGACAATGTCTACTCGGGGTGGCTTACATGGATAAAAACACAACAATATAACATGTATTAAAATTCATCAAAAATGCAGTTATAGCAATTAATTCAAACAGACTAGAACGAAACTTTTTCAAACTGGCGCAAATTGGGTCTAGATCATCTCTGGGTTCTTTTCCACAGCGCTCACAGACCGACTGTTTAAGGATCTGTTCCAGAACCTTCCCTAATACTGTACGGATGTCAAGCTGAGCAGTCTGTAGCTGCCTGGAGCTTCCTTTGACCCATTTTTGAAGATGGGAATGACATCTAAGAATGATGCAAGATTGAAAACAACGGCTCTGTGATTGCATACCTGCAAGTATGCCTTTCCATATGCCAGGATGCAGCTCACCCGGCCCAGGAGACTTGCCTTCCTTTGAAGCAGTTCGGCCTCTTTGCTGACCTTGGGCAAAGCCCCCACACCCCCTGCCTTGACTCCACCTGCACAAGGCAGGCCACTGTTTTTTTCTCCTGGGGAGAAGACGGAAGCAAAGTAAATGTTCAGCCACTTTGCTTTCACTCTCTCACCCGTTTGGATTCCTCCACTCTCTCTACAAAGCAGAACGAACAAGAATGGAGGCAGATTCGGACAGGTAGCCAGGTCCAAAACCGTTAAGAGCTTTGCAAGTTACAAGTAGCATCTTGAGCCTGGGCCAGGACAGAACAGGCAACCCATGCCGTTGGGCCAGGGCCCAGGTTACATGGTCGCGCTTCTTCAACCTAGCTTCCGCATTCTGCACCTGCTGCAGTCTCTGGGTCAGCTTCAAGCGAAGCCCCATGTAGAGAACATTACAGTGTTCAATTCACAAGAGAACCATCATGTAAACCAACATTATCAGGGACTCCCCATCCAGGAAGGAGCACAACTATGCAGTTTGCTAGAGCTGGCCAAAGGCAGACCTAGCCATGGGCAGCCAGGTAACTTTCAAGTTGCACACATGTTCCCTCGGGGGGGGGCACCATCTAGTCTAGGGACAGTTTCCTCCAATTGATCAGTGGAACCACACAACGGAAGGATCTCCGTCTGGATCTTTTCATAAAGATTACTCTACCATGCATTCTGCTTGAAGCTGGTCGGACATTTCAGCTAGGATCAGAATGCTGCAACGTGGCTGCTGACTGGGAATAGTGAGAGGACCCTGGACTCCTGGCTATAGGAATTACTCTTAGACTCTGGCCTGTTTCTGGACGCAAGGCAAAAGCTTTTTTCTGGCCCATAAAACACTAAATGTCTTGTGAGGAGACATCGTGTCCCTTCTGACAAGCCTTTCTAAGCTTTGAGATCTTCCAGAAGGCCCTTCTCCTACCCATCTGGGAAGAACTCGAGAAAAGTTCTTCCCTTTATCTA